GCAGGTGAGCCCGAGTCCTAGAAATCTACAGGCTAGTTCAGAAGAAAAGGTAGAATTTTCCCGACCTTGCAGTCATAAAATGACCTGAGCCCAAACATTGATTAGGATCTCCTCAGGGTAGTTGTGGAAATACCTGCGACGTACCACTGCACCACCGCAGAACTGGACATTTCAGAAGCTAAAAAAAAATTCTTGAAGAGTCTTAGAAAATGAGACCTCATGAGACCTTTTTCAGGGAGGAACACTGCGATCAGTCTTTTTGATCCTGTCTCCTCACCTCCCTTCTTTAGCCTTGTATTAGGCATATTAGTACAAAATTCCAATTTACAGGTGGGAAAACTGAGCCACAGGGAGATGAGGTGACTTACAACGCCATTTCACTTATGAATGACAACATTCCTTGTAATGCTAAGAAAAAGAGAAATCATGTTCTCTGTGCTTTTTCCCTTTGGCAAGGAAAACATGAAGTCAGTTGGCATGAGGTAGTTCTTTCCCATAGGATGTAAGAGGGCTCTCGGCTGCTTCCCACCCAGGTTCCAGCAGTGCCCCACCGGGTGAGACCAACACCCTGCCCACAGCTAAGTTCTCTTCTGTTTTTCGCTTTGTTGGCATGAAATTCTACCAGCCCAAGCACGATGCTAGGTGCTTTACATGTATCACACCCTTTAATTTTACAACTCTTTGAGATAAGTATTGTTCTGATCACTTCCTGTGATAGTACAGGAGTATAACTAACTGGAGCTTTGCATAAAATAGAATGGGACCTAGTAGAAGAAACAACTAAATATGATTTGGGTCAGAAGATGCTTCAGAGAAATGGATGATAATGACATTGGAGGTTAAGTTGACATTTGCCAGTTAGGGAAGGAGGCATTATAGAAACGGTACAGGCAGGGCCAAGGCTCAGGGAGCACAAGATGAGCACAGTAGAACACGTTGGGCTGGAATGTAAGAGTGGAGTGTATGTGTGTCAGGGTTGGCGGAGGATGTGTGGGAATGAGTAAGGCAGGGAGAAAGGTGTGAAGAGCTGGAAATGTAGCAAAAAAGTAAGTTTAGCCACATATGAGCACTCTGGAAGTCCATACCTTGGAGCATTTTTATGACCTGACTTCCCAGACAGAGCTCTGAGTCTGCTAAATAAAGTGTGTGATGAGTATGGACAAGTGGAATGTACTGCACACTTGCCCAAAGCCTTTCGACCATGGCACAGGTGTTCTCTGGAACTCACCTTGGGAAATGCTCAAGGGTCTTCAGAGGACGCCTCCAATGCAAGGAGAGCATTTCTTTGTGTCTGGAGACAGGCAATATTTTGTCATTTTTTTCTTTAATAATTTATAACTGTGTCCTTCTCTGTGTAGAACTGTAAAGCTTTTAGAGCTGGCAAGGACCTTGCAGATATCTAGTCCAAACCCACACAAAGATCCAGAGATGAGATATCGCCAAGCTGATCAGAGGCAAAAGCAGATGAGAATTCAAGTCTTTGGACTTGAAGACCATAAATATTGGAAAGTACCTTCAATATGAAAATAATATGACAGGTCATTTAAAGTAAGCATGTAAGTAATTTTGTGAAAGAAGAGTGATCATTGTATCAATAACCTAGAATAAAACCATTCTAGTTAATTAACTAGATTTAGTCTTGAGCTGCATCCAAGCAGAGAGATTGATGTGATGGTGTATGTTTTCTTTTCACCTGATAGGAGCTCACACAGGATGTCAGATCCCATCAGGCGCACATCGAACTGAGCAGCCCTCTGACAGAGCCTTCAGTAATTCACAAACACGCAGAGCCTATAAAAAGTCCTGGAAATGCAGTCTTTAAGGAGCTCATTGGCTGGTTGAAGATGAGCAGTTAAAATCCAATATGGTAGGTGTTATGAAAGAGGGAAGCAAAGGGTGCTGAGGGAGCATGGGGTGGAGACGCATGACCCGGGATGGGAGCTGGGGCTTTCCAGAGGGCAGTGGTTAGCAGTAGAATGGTGTTCTTAGGGAAAGGGAGTTTGCTGAGGAAAGAAGGGCTGGGTGGTTGGGAAGGGTATTCCAAGCAGAGGGAGCACTACCAGTGACATGAAAAAGCCTGGGGGGTGGGGAATTGCACGTGTTTCATGTGCTCAGATTGGCTCGAGTGCTGCTGGCTAAAGAGTAGTGAGTAAGAGGCACCAACTGACTCAGTGTTAACCATTGATACTCATACCCGCTCACTCTCCACTTTCCTCCCAGAGATGGGAGCGCCTTCATTTCCACATGTAGACCTGAAAAGCAAACGCATACTTCTCTTACCTCCAGCAATGACACCAGCTGGTTTTCTGCCATTTGGATTGTAGTGAGAGTGAAAGGTCAAGGTCAGGTTGAGGCAGGGAAAGGGATGGGAGTACATAGAGGTATGGGTGAGTAAGAAAGGGAGAGAGACCTGAGAAGGGGGAAAGTGTTCAGAGCAAGAATATGGAGGCCTGGGAGACAGACTGCACACATCCCACATCTGCTTGAGATGTCTCCACCAGGCCTGGGGGTACTCTTGAAACCATGAAGGGGTGAGTGCCATGGTCAGCTGGTCAGTAGCCACTTGCAGGTTAATGCCTGACTTGTCTGGATGCTTCTCTATGGGCATAGTTAGTTACGAAGGGATGGGGTGTCATAGTGTGTGGCACAGACATTTTGGTGGGGTAGGAGGTGGACGTGTGGGAGGAATGGGGCGGTTAGATTAGAGCATGCCTTATGGTGATGGAGACTGAGGTCAGAGGAAGGGGCTCTAGACAGGGAGTGAGAGCATGGGGCATGTGTGTGTGTGTGTGTGTGTGTGTGTGTGTGTGTATGTATTCATTTTGCCTACATCAACCTTCATAAACTTTTAAGGTGTGGGACCTTTTAGGGAACAGATATGCTTTTTATGATCCATACAATGTTTTCCTGATTATTATTTTGTTTGTTTCACATGGTCACCCTGTGAAAGGGGACCTTTTCTTATAGACCAAGAAATGGGCTGAAAGGCAAAGTGTCTGTCACAGGGCTCCCTGCAGCGTCCAGTAGCACGGGAACCCATCTGTCTGACTCTCCCATCGGTGCCCTTTCGAGACCTGCACCTCCTGTCACTACACCCACCGTGGAGGCCTGTTCTTTCTGTCCCCAGCTTTCAAAGATGTCCACTGGGGGCCCTTTCTGACTCCCACTGTGTCTTCCCTCCGGTTCACACATGCCATCCAGACCCCATGAGAAGGACCTCGGTCTGCCTGTTCTGCACTGCAGATGCCTTCTGCAGAGCTTAGGGATTCTGAGCATATTTCATTCTCAAGTAAACAGTACTGGACTTCTGGATGTCCTTAGCGATTTGAAAACAATTAAATAGCTAACTTCCGGGAGAGATCTGAGAGCATTCGTCTCAGGTGCTGATAAAATGTAAACATACTTTTAGAATACTCTTACACCTTATCCTAAGAATGATGACTTGGGTATGAAAATTACCTTCTCCAGCCGCTTGTAAACAGCAGTGTAGACAAGTGCTTTGGATCCTCTGCCACAAAAAGGGGGCTGGCTTGGAGGCACCAAAGAACCACGGGGTTAGGGACCGAGGGCACCCAAACACCTGTCCCCTGCCTACCTGCATCCTGACCTTGCCTTCCACGAGCCAAACGAAAATGCTGGAGTCTGAGGATGACTTCTTACATTTTCACTTCCCCTCTGCCACTCCAGTGCTTGCTACGGCCCTTGCCTCTCTCCAGACCTCCATGTAACGTGCAGCTTCCTCCTCCTTTTAGAAACCTACCAGATCCTGTAAACATTGTTCCCTATTCTCTGACTCCCACCACTGGTTTTGATCAAAGCCAATGAGAAAACCCAGACATCACTGGATACTTCACTGAGGTCAGAGAAAGTGCCTTTCGTTTTTTCCATACATCCCTTAGCTCCCACCCCCTCCTGCGTGCCTGGCTCAGGACCTGGAACTTAAGGAGCTGGGGTCTTGCTAGGTACTTGTCTGAGTCTAGTGGTCAGCAAGTGCTGGGTTCCGGGCAATTGGCAGATTGTGTGATGTGGGGCGGGAGCCCAGGGAACACTGGGCGCCTCCAGCTTGGAGCAGCTGGCTCTGAGGAATTATTGCAATTCTGCACAACTTAAAAATCTGCAGTTTGGGGGCGGGAGGGGGAGCGCGGGGGTGGGTCCCCGAGCGTCCCATTGCTCCTCCTCAGGCAGTTCACTGAGCCTTCTTCCTCTCTGCAGAGGGGCCTGCGATGCCTCCTGGACCACACGCTGCCCTCGCTGAGCTCCTGGTTTGTTGCTCAGTCTCGGCCTCAGGCATCTCCCTCTGACGGTCCCCTCTTCCATTTTTTCGGGATGTGGACCCACCTGGGTCCCCTTCCGCTTGGTGCATATGTGCACCACCTCTTCTGACCTGGTAAGTCGAGGACTAGAGCGTGGGAAACAATCTTGTTCTGCTTTGTGCCTGAGTCTTCAGGCAGCGGTGCTGGTGGTAAACAGGCAGGACGTGCGTGGGGCTGTTTCCTCCTTTGCACTTTGTTTTGAAACAAGTTGGGGCCTCGAGACTTCCTAAGAAAACCCCGGCAAATTTGCAGTGTCGCTTGGGCCGCGACTTTCCCGAGACGGTTGCCGGAGCCACTGGGGCCGCAGATCTGTTTCCCGCGGGGTTGCGGTGCTCCCAACCCCGGAGGGCGCGCAGTTGGCAGGCGCGGGGCGCGCTCCAGCTCCCACCCGGACCCGGCGCGCTGCTCCACGGGTGACTCTGCACTTGGGTCTGGGCTGGGGCGCGCGCCCCGGAGGGCGGCCTCGGTGTCCAGCCATCTGTCCGCCTGTCGGGTGGCCGGTGCCCCGCTGCTAACAGCTGCTGGCGGCTCAGCGCCGCGCCCTCTGCCCGGGGAGCGCTGGCTGAGGGCCGAAGCTAGGTGGCGGGAGGAGCTGGGACCCAAGGGGCGGTAGCTGAGCGGCCAGCCCCGCCCCGCCCCGCCCGCTGCTCCCCGCTGCGCTCTGGCTCGCTCGGCGGCACAGACAGATGGACAGACGGACCGTGGCGGGCCACCCGGCTCTCCTCGCCGCCGCCGCGGCGGGCGCGGGGCCGCGCGGGAAGGCCTGATCCCTGCAGTGCGAGCCGGAGGCGTCGCAGAGCGCAGCGAGCCGGAGGCGCCGGGACTCCTGCAGGTACCTGCTTGTGAACCCACCTCCCCGTGCGCTCCGGAGACTTCTCGGTGCGACCTTGCAACTTTCCTCACCCTTTGCTGCCCCCCTCTTCCTCCCAGTGGCCCAGGTCAGGGGTGCAAGATCCCGGAAGTCTACCTCCGCAGGGTACTTTGCATACTGCTAGGCGCTTCCCATCCTCGGGTCCCCAGAGCCCACCTTCGCTGGAGCCCTAAGGATCCGCCTGTTGCACGAGTTGTGGGCAGCCCAGACGGTGCCTGGGTTTTTGGGAAAGCCGCAGGCAGGGCAAGTAGGGTCAGCTCTTGGGCGTGGTGTCGGGGTGGAGGATGGACTGGAGGCGGGAGAATCGATGAGCTGGGGAAGGGCGGCACTTCGCTTAGGGGCATCCCTGGGGCGTTTCCTTAGCTGGGAAGCTGTTCCTTCTCTTCCTCGAGAGGAGGCGCTTTCCCGGGGAATATGAGTGCTTCCCGGGCCGCCTGCTCCGCCTTCTTCCCTGTCATTCCCCCCTCCCCTTTGTCCTGGAGTGGTTCAAGGCGCCCCGCGACAGTTGGTGGGCAGAGCGCGCCCAGGGCCCTTGTCCTGGTGCAGCGCTGCGCCCAGAGACTACCGGCGTGCTCAGAGTGGGTGCAGCTTGGGGCTCACAGGGCCCGCGTTGAGTCGCCCGCAGACTCCTCGCGTTTGGATCGGTGGCTGTGGTGGGATTGGGTGCCCTGGGTCGAGAACTTCCCATTCCCGCGCCCCTCTGGGTGGCTGCCCGACCTCTTGAGGTGAATGAGACCATCCTGCAGGGGCCGCGGCGAGTCCGGCTGGCGCCTTTCGCATTGCAGGGCTCGTTCTGTGCACCCGCTCACCCCCCGCTGTCTCTTCTCTCTTTTGTGGAAGGAGCGCCTTTTGCGCGCTTGGTGTCTCCTGCATCTGGCTGGGGAGACTGAGCCGGTATGCTAACTGGGCATGGGGGTGGAGGACAGCAAACAACTACTTCCATCCACCTGAATGACGACCCTGGGGCCCTGGTTTGATACCGCGGTGTGAACGCAGGGCGAGGGGTCAGGCAGCAGGGCTGGCCCTTGTCCTCACAGAGGGTAGACTTGAGGACTACTTGATTTTTATTTCATCTGACCCTCTGAACAGTGGGGCAGGTGAGGAAAACCAGGGCAGAAACCTTCCCTGTCCCTTTTCATGTATTTGCTTAAGTGATTTGCATAACCATTCGTTGAGAACTGTCACCCCTAGTTGACCCCTTTCTAGACTAGCAAATACCTGCCCAGGTAAACAGGAAGCAAACATTTTCCAGAGCACCTGCCCCCTGGCTAAGGGCAGATGCCCTAGTGCCTCTTCTTCCTGCTTACTTCAGGCTGAAAGAGGGTGGTATTGATTCTGTGGTTGAACTTGGTGTATTGTGTAGGTCTCACCCCCAACCTGGGTTGTAAACTTGGGGGAAGATTTGATTGGTTCCACATGTGTTTACAAGCAGCCCACCTGGGCCAGGCCCTGCCACCTGCTCTGGGAATATACAGCTGTAAACTGAGATTTCTCCTCCCAGTCTAGTTCTAGTCTTCCTTTTTTTGTTTTCACCAAACTCCTTTCATCTTTTGTTCTAATATTAAATTTGTCTTTTCAGAGCTAGGAATGATAAATATTGGGGTAGAAGGGAGGAGGTGATACTGAAGTGCTTAAGAACTCTGAATCCAAAGCGTGTTGTGAATGTTTCAAGGAGACTTGCGAGACCTGTTTCATTTGGTCTTATGTCTGAGCCTTGATCATCTGGAAAATCAGCCTGATGAAGCCCATTCATGGGTGCAGCAGAGCTGAACGGCTGGTCAAGTGTGTGAGAGCAAATTGGGGAGTTGGAAGCAATCTTTGTTTTGTTCAGAAATATTCAAATATGAAAAATCCAGTGCTCTGATGCTTGGGTTTGCCAGCAAAGCACCAGCTAAGTATTTTTTCATCATCATCATCATCATCATCATCATCATCATCAAGAAAAAGGGAAAGAGTGGGGACTCCAGGCACCTCCTGTCTTCAGTGAATTTTGCCCATCGCTGTAATGCTTCACAGACTCTGCCTCCCTCTGTTCTACCAGAGACCTCAGCCTGCCCTGGGTATGTCAGCTTAGCTTTGAGAAAGCAGGCTCCACAGGGTTTTCCTCCTCCTTCGCCTTCTTCTTCTTCTTCTTCTGCCTCTTCTTCTTCTTCTTCTTCTTCTTCTTCCTCTTCCTCTTCCTCTCCTTCTTCTCCTTCTCCTTCTCCTTCTCCTTCTTTTTCTTCTTCTTCTTTTAATATATAACATTTATTGGCTGCATACTATATAGGCAGCTCCTCTGCTGGGCACTTTTTCAGGCATCATCTCATTTTATCCTCAGAACAATCTCCCGAGGAAGCGAAGCTAGCGTTCTTTATCGCGGTATTTCTGTGGGAGCCTCTCCAGGTGCATTCTGAGTTGGATGAGAGGCCAAAAGGACTGGGCTGGACCTGAGGTCTCAGTAGCAGGCGAGGACAGCTCTCCTAGGTGGAAGGGGGGTGTGTTTATTGCTCCTGCTTAGCAGATGTCAGGATGGATCCTCTAGGGGGACACTTGTGCGAAATACCCACAAGGAAACTACAGACTAGACTGTAACTAAGGACCTGGGTGCCAGCCCTGATTCCTACCTCTTTATGGCTCTTCGACTTAACATATGTCACGACTCTTCTCTGAGTCTATCTGTTTAGCTGCAAGGATGTTTATATGTGTAATATTTATTGTTACCCTGTACTAGGCACTGTGCTAAATTCTCTCTATGTATTAACTCATTTCATCCAGGTGACAACCCTAGGAGGTGGGCTCTATGATTACCCTTGTTTAGATGAGAAAAAAGAAACAAACTCAGTATCTGCACAAAATCGAACAACGAGGACAATGTGAAGCCAGGAGTCTAACCATAGCTGTCTGGCTGAGAGCCATTGTGAGATCCTTTCCTCCTTGTTTATCCCTACAGCCCCAACACTGTGCCTTGCGCTTAGTAGGACTCCGACTGGGTTGGTTAAATGGTGAAAGGTAGAGGCGGCCTTCTGTTACCAATAGACTTTTTAGTCCCTTGTCACATCCTTAAAAGGAACCTCGAAAACTGGTCTAGAAAAATGTTCTTTTTGCTTTTGCCAAAATACTCTTCTTTCCAATGGAATTCTGCCCAGCTGGTTGGGAAAAAGGAAGACAGACCACAAAGATCATGGGCTAGGTAAACATTATGGCTACTTTGGAAAATGTGTTTATTATCAATGAGAAACCCAGAAAAATCACAGAACACTTTGCACTCTGAGTCAAGTCTATCAAAAAAAACCTCCAACCAACACACAAGAATTTGTTGTGTGGGGTTCATGTGCTGAGTACTGCAGGCTTCGAGGGAAGGTGGAATTTAAGACATGTTCTCTGACCTTGAACTTTCAGTGAACCTGGAGGCTCAAGATCAACAAGCACAAATCAGGACAACACAAGATGCTAAATATTTGAGTCCCGATAAAAATCACAGCAACTCTGTCACATTTATAAAGCCTGTTGTATTGTAGTTTGCAGAAACTTTCACAGGGTTATCTCATTTCAGTTCTCATAGTAACTGAGTGTGATAAGTGATAGGCAGGGAAGAGGTTAGAAAGCCCATCCTGTAGATGAAGAAAATAAGGCAAAGAGAACCTTGGACTTGGCCATAGCCAGGTGTCTTCTGATGCCAGGTCCGTCATCTTTTCTGCCTCATTAGTTGGACAGTGAGATGTGGTGGGTCATTGGAGGTGGCTGAGTTTGAATGTGATCCAGAAGCTTGTTTTTAGTTACTGGTCTTAGCCAGCCAGGGTTCTTAGTGAGGGCAGGGGAGGAAGAGAAAATGTTTTTTTGATGTTGTTTTATTTTTGCATTAAGGGTATGTGAAACGTGGAGAAATCCCAGTTATGATGAACACAATTAACAGTGTTTAGAATGTATAATAAAATATAGACACTGATCTAGAAGCATTTCCATCCCTGTATTCCTTTATCCTTTTTCTAGATCACCTTTCACAACTTTGCCACACATATACCCCCACCTCTTACACAAGTCAACTCTTGCTAAAGCGATACATAGTTCCAAGACTAGGTTGTAGTGTTTTTCTTTGTGGGAAGGGGGTCTCGCCCACTTTGGAATCCTGAAAGCCTTGCACCATAGTTTGCTTGGAGTAGATACTCTATAAAATTGTCTTTTGTTGAGAAGTGTTGGATGATATAGGCCCAAGATCTGCTTTTAGCCAGGAATGTCACAGAGAAGCAGCTAATATTGACAGCAGCGGACTTCAGTGTGCTTGCCGAAGTCCCCAGTGAATGAAACATCACAGCTCATCCTCTGCTGAGCACCTAGAAGATGTTTACCAATGTTGACTTAATGACTAACCTATGTAGTCATCTAGATATCCTCTTTACATGTACAAATATGTACAAGCATTCACTTAATGAGACTTACCCAGTGTTATATACCGTGCTAGGGACTGGGTTTGCTGTGCTGAAAGACACAGATCTGGAGGTGGTGTGGGAGATGGGTAAGGAGACAGACGGTCAACAAGTCAATCACACATTTAAGTAGCGGCAAGCCACCTAAAGACCTTCAAGGGGAAGGAAAACAAGGGTGGCAAGGTCACTAGTTTAGATGGGGGATGGGTGGGAGAAAGAAAATTTCAGGCAGAGGCAAGAGTGAGGATTCTAAGGCAGGAATTGAGTGTTGGAAGAACTCCAGGAGGGCAGGGAGGGGTGGCTGGAGAGGAGGGCAGGGGCCAGATTATGCTGCACCCTTTTGGCCAAGTTCAGGATCTTACGAGTTTATCCTGAGGGCTGTGGAAAGAATTAATGGAGTTTCAGCAGCCAATTTGTATTTCTAGAAGATTGTCAGTGACGGCTGTGAGGAATAGATTAGAGAGGTCAGTAATGGCAATTGAAGGCCTCCTTAAGAGGCGTGCTGGAGAGGTGGGACCGAAAGCCGGATGGGGCTGAGAGAAAAATGAATGGGAGGCGAGGAAGTAGAGACCATACATGTGTAGGTTGGTTATGAAAGGGGACAGAGAGACAGAGGGTGCTGGGGAGAGTTTGTACATGCCTGTGTCTGAGTGGAAGGCGACCTTGGCTGAGGGTAGGGACTGAGTCCAGCTCCTCAAAAAATCAAAATACACACGTCTCTTTGTGTGGAATTAAACCGTACTATCACTTCTAGAAGATTAGAAAATTGAATCCTCGCTTTGGCTTTGTCTCCAATTGCTGGGTAAATTTGAGCTTATCACTTGTCCTTCCCTGTTTGTTTTCTTCCCCACAGCCTGGTGATTTTATGATTTAAAAAGAGATATCTTTCTATGAATATTCTTCTTCAATAGCATCATTTATTTGTGTTAGTTTGGATCCTTTTTATAACTTAAATTAGGAAAAATTTGAGTGGTTCTATATACATTTGTGGTGCAATTCTCAGCATTTGCTCTTTGATGATCACCAATAAGCTGTTTTCCAATTGACTTAAATGAAGAGACACCAGTGATAAGCCTGGTGATGAGGAGATGCCAACCTTGTCCAAGATATATGGGGGTGGGGCCCTGGTAGAGCCCGGGGCATGGCTGGAAGCCAACTGTTGTGTCTGAGCAGAATTCTTCTTTACCCTGTCTTCCTCATCACTTGAGATACTGCCTCTGTACCCTCGGATATCTTGTGAACAGATGGAAGAGACGTACATCTGGTCTGTCCTCTGGGAACCCGCATTTAGCAGAATATGCTGGCCTAACGATCAATAGTGAACATCATCGCTAGCCTGGTGGGGCCTTGAAGAAGTGATAGGGGACCCAGGGATCAATTTTATGTAATAGGGAATGACCGTAAATAGGACCATAGGATTGAAAGTTACTCCTAAGATCAGATAAGACAGTTGCTGCCTCTTGAAGGCTTCTTCCAGGAATGCTGACTTATATCCTGACAAATAATTAGTATGTTGAGATAAAAGAATTCCAGAAGACTAAAATTTTGGACTTGAACGTGCTTACATTTTTTTATTTTTTTACTTTCATTCTTCTATGTACTGCTTTGGTTTTCTTAAGTCCTGATTGATGTACCAAGGTGAACCTGCAGCATTTCCTATGATGTCTTAAGGTAAGGAATTTAACTGGCCCGAGAGGTAGGAGAACGTCATGGTTAAAGATTAGTTTGTAGATATAGATGGAGAGGAGACATTTGGGTTCAGGCAAGGTTACTTTAGCAGTTTTGTCTCTGAGGTCAGTAAAGCTTACCTTCTGGGCAGTGTTTTTCTTGTGGGGTTTTAAGATCCCGGTTTTCTAAGTGTGGTACCTTCATGAGCCCACTGATGTAGACCACCAGCCTCCCTCCTCCCCTTGGTGATTAGACATTGCTTCCAGTATTTAAACATTCAAGACAGTCATCTCCACCATGGGAACAAACTGGGAAAGTTCGCGTAAAATTAAGAAGTGTGACTGTTCTTCACAAATTGAGAGACCTGACCTCCTGGTGCCCATTGATAAGGGGCAGCAGTCCCCCTTTGGCAGGGCTGGTGCTCTCCAGCTTGTCACCGTGGCCAGGTGTCCTTCTTTTTCATTTCGGATAGCTGCCTGGCCCCTGCAGGAGTTCTATTTTGTGACCCCAGATTTATAGTTTTTGGAGAGTAAGCAGAGTTTCACAGGAAACCCAGAATAAGAAGTCAGACAAGTGGCATCAGTGAACCACAGGGGCCTGGAGGGCTGCAGTGACAATGCCTGGGACAGGTAAGTCCTTTGGGTTTTACCATCTGGAGGTGCCGTTATCAAAATCACTTAGTTCAGTGTTAGGGCAAGAATTGTATTATAGAAAAGCAGAAAGGATGAGTGTAAAACATGACCCCAAGAAGCTGTGTTGCAAAGAGGAATTTGCGGTTGGGAGATTTGATTTCGTTTTATTTTTTAACATGTGAGTGACTTGAGCATATCTATAGGAGGATTATGTGATATAAAATAATGCTTTCTTTATTTGTCATTGGCTTGCAATTTATATCTACAAGGAGCCCAGTCTTAGCTTTGGTTGTCCTTATTGAAGCAGAGCACTCCCAGGAATCAGATGGAGTGAGGTCTTTATATGTCTGGGGAGACAGCTCTGCCAACTTCAGATCTGACCCGTGTGAGATGAGTTTTTGCTATTTTAATATGTAAGCTGCTGTGCCTTAAAGTGGGTAATTCTACATTTTAACAGCAGCGGACTGTCAAGCAGTGCCCATGTGGCGTATACTCATGTGTTTGTAGGCTGCCCGTTTCCCTTTATCGTTGGTCTGCTGGAATCTATGGGTGATTTTAGCAACCAGCATCCCTTCTACTGCAGTCTGGATTAGTGTGCTTCTATTGGCTCTACGCCGTTTGCCAATTTTTTCCATTTAGTTTTTGTATTTGTTTAATAGTATAGCTTGATGCAATAATTGTGTGTGTTGTGTGTGTGTTAGAACTTATCGATCTTATCTTTGATGAAAACTATTTTTATTAAAGAAAAGCTGTATCTCCCTTCTGCAGTGGCTGATAAATAAGCTACTTTTATTCTGCTGTGACCACAATTCGAAAAGTACATTTGCTATGAATGTTCTTTTCTCCCAGGAATACAGTGGACAAGAAAGACTTTAAAATTCAACATGGAAGGGAGGCAGCCAGTAGCTATCCCTAACCCTAATCCTAACAGTTGTTGACCAACTAATTAATTCATGAGTTAACTCACCAAGTAATTTTTATGAACCTACTATGTGTCAGATGAGGTGCTAGGCACTGGGGATGTGGTGGGTGTTTGCATGAGATGGACAAAAATTCCTGCCTTCATGGAACTCATATTCGAGGGGGGAAACAAAGTATAAATAACAGCATAAATACAGTTATGTCTCAAGTGTATTTTAGGGATTAAAAAATGCTAAGGACAAAACATAAAGCAAAGAAGAGGGATAGGAATTTCCGGGAGGGGCGGGTATTTTCGATAGGGTAACCAAGGAAGGCCTCATTTGGAAGATATCATTTGACTAAAGACCTGAAGCGAGCCATGCAATCACCTGGGAATAGAGCATTCAGGCACAGACACCAGCCAGTGCAAAGGCCCTGAGACAGAAATGTGCCTCACTTGGCACGATTAAGGATAGTACTGAGATCAGTATGCCAGAGGGGAATGAAAGCCAGTGAGGAGTAGGAGATGAAATCAGGTAAGTAAACAGGTGTGAAATGGAGTTTTTATTCTAAATTGGAAGCCACCAAAGGGCAGAACATAGGAGTGACGTGATGTGATTTACATTTTAATAGGATCTCTAGCTAAGGAACTCTTAACCCTTTCTGTGTCATGGACCCCTTTTGCAGTCTGGGGAAGCCTGTGGATCACTTTTCAGAATTGTGCTTTAAATGTAAAAAATAAAAGCCACAGGATATGACTCCAACCATATGGAAGTACAGTCATCAAACTATTAAAACCAATTTATGATTTAGCAATATATGTGCTTCTTTATCAACTCATGGAAGAAGATCTGGCAGTAGGTCTATAACTACTGTGATTTCAAAGTAATAATGGGCATACATGATATTTTAGGAGATCTGCAACAACTGTGATATGTGAAATTATCTGGGATTTCTGTTGGGGTGAAGTCACAGATGCTGATAATAGTACCCTGGACCACTGCCTGTGTATTTTTTTGTTTTGTTTTGTTTTTAAGTTTGTAGCAGAGGATAGTTTATTTTTATTAGAAGAAAAAATACATTTCAAACAAATAGAAGTGGGCCCGAACAGTAGTAGAGAATGACTCACGGGCCATTATTAGAAGAGAAACTCCAAAGAGTTTGGAGCGGGCCGAGCAGAAGAAGCTCAAAAGGCCACTGCCTGCGTTTTTAATGAGAGGAATCGCTAAATTTTGAGGTTAGTGAAAAATCAAGAACCCCTTCCCGCTTCTGCCCCCCTCCCCACCCCAGTTAAGTTCAAGGACCTCCTGAATTTTCTCTGTAGACCCTGCTCTGTTTGGTGGGGAATAGATTAAATTGGGGTGCTTGTCCCGTCTGTATTTCAATAGGCATGGCTGCTGTTCACCACTTTTGCTTCATATCACTGCAGCTGTACCCAGCGGCAGCCTCCCATTTTTTAGATGTTCTAGCAACAGCAGTAACTCCAAGAGGATTTTAAAATATCTTTCTGGTTCCTTGTGGCTAAACAGTTCAGGAGGCCTGGGTGTGGTCCCTTTGGGTTGGCGGAGTCACATGCAACCCGTTCTCCTTTCCTAGGACATCTCTCACCTTGGTTATTACTAGCTCACCAAGGTGTGGATAGTACAGGCAGAGTTCTTTATGTTTTAAGAGGAAATAGTCTGTATCGATGGCTCTAGGTCATAGGGCTACATGCTGGCCACACCACAAGCTTTCTGGCCTCTACATCTCTGCACGTGTTCTTTCCTCTCCTTGGAGAAGGGCCTTCTCACTCTTACCTGTCTCCCTTACTTGCTCATATCTGACCCAACCCTCAGGGCTCAGCTCAGATGCCAGCAGTTGTCGCTGCTACTTCCTTCTCCTCGAGCGACCTTTCACCTCCTCTGAACTTCTGCGGCACCTTCTCAGTACCTCTCCTCCAGGTACCTGACACGTCCCTCCTTATGGTGAGTGTACTTTTTGCTTCCCGGTTTACCCTCTTACCAGTTCTTCTAAGCTCCTGTAAACTCTGAGGACAAGAGCCATGTTGTCTTTTGTTCTCCGTAGTTCCCCGGACAGTGCCTGCCTTAAAGCAGATGTGAATGAATAGCAGAAGCTTATGATTACTGCAAATGACACGGGAGCACGCCGGCAGAAGAGTCTATCTCACTCAAATCTGTATGTAAGTTCGCTTCATGTCTGTCCCGTCCCCTCCTCCCTGCAAATACTGACCAAGGCTGCTTAGGACCTTTCCTTTTCCCAAGTAGAAACAACTGTTTTCATAAGTGTTTTGTAATCCATTTAGAGAAATTCATGCAGCATTGAGAGGTAGAGTAGAAAGCAAAAATCACCCTGAATTCCATCACCCAGGCAGAATGCATTTAACATTTTGGTGTATAGTCTCATAGACTTTTTTTCCCCATATTATAAAATCAGACATATTTTATAAAGATCAGATCATGCCATATATTGTATTAATTAGTTTCTTTATTTACTTAGCATGTATGACTATCCTTTTTATGAATCTACAGGCAGTGGAACATAGTGGTTAAGAGAATGGCTTCGGAGCATAATTGTCTGAATTCAAACCGTGAAGCTATCGCTTAATAGCTGTTGACCCGGGAGAGTGAGTTAATGTCTCTATTTACCAGTTTCTCCATCTGTAAGATGAATCCAGTAAAAATACTACTACTTGTACAAGTGTTGAAGATTAAGTGGGTTCAGACATGCAAACACTTAGACAGGGCCTGGCTCAGTACACAGGAGCTCTTACTGTTATTATTTCCGTGTTTTCAACGGCCACAGATTCATCCATTGCACTGCCACATCCTAATCTATTTAGTCCTTCTCATATTGATGGACAGTTAGATAGCCTTTGGCTTTTTGCTCTTATGAATAATTAATGATGTAGTCAACGTCCTTGTCCATACTCGTACATCCTTGCACACTCGTCTGATTTATTTTCTCAGGACACATTCCAAATGTATAACTGCGGAATTTTTTGATACACGTGGCTACAGTGTTCTCTAGAAGGTCCCCTTTCACCAGTTTATATACCCCTATTATCACTGCATGATATGTTTTTTGCCCTATGCCCTCCCAAACTGCTGACTTTCAGTTTCTCTTTTTATCCGCGTTGGTGCAGACTTTGATGCATCAGCCTTTGAAAACATGGGGACAGAGCAACCTGGGCCCAGGGCCCTAAGCCCCCAGGTGGGCTGATCTGCCAGACTGTTACCTGGCTGAGGCAGAGCCCCTGCTTCAGGCCAGCCCTGTGGCTGGGGGATTCAGGCAAGGTGGAGGGAGCCAGGGCGTTCCTTCCTTGGGCCAGTGGAATAGGGCAGTCACATGGGCTACTCAAGGTGCCCCAGAGCCCTGCTGACACACCGGGATGACCATGTTGAGGTCAGTGGCTGTGTGGTTCTGCTTCCTCTTATGAGGTGCACACTCTTCCACGGGGCGTTTCTGGCTTTCCTTTCTGTAGCTTGTCTTTGGAGAGACTCGGTGACTCAGCAGCAGCCTGCTCCCCAGGGGAGGTTGTCTAGGAACAGGACCTGAGGAGAGGAAAGTGGTGTTTGGTTACCCGTGTTTCTAGCCTTAGGGATTTCTGGTATTCACTCACTGTGGATGGCCAAGAGAAACATAATTTATAGTAACCTTTGACATAAAATTTAGAGGCTTTGCTTTGGAACGCACTGGCTGGTTTTTCTCTCTAAAGACCAGGACTTTTTGAAATTTATTTTTAATCCCTGCATAGATTAGACCCTGAGAAGTTTTCATTTTCTTCTTGGGGCAGATCAAAAATTTAAAAAGAAAATCATTGAAAATTAAGGATTTCTCATATTTTAATGTCCTCCTTGAAATTTGATAATTGGGGAAAAGTAAGTAGTTGGGGGGATACTCTTAGTAATCTGTCTGAATCACCTGGAAGGTGTTGTATTATTCTGATTGCTTTGGATTATAGGATTTTATACGATTTAAATATAAGTACAAATTTCCTGGCACGCTGAATCGAATTATGGTAGGCTGATTGTGATATTATAATTTTATTAAGCAAAACCCTGGACCACAATTCTCATTAGTTAAGCAAGATAGAGGTAGGGTCAAATTTCACCTGTCATTATTATTACTTATGTTTCATTCCGATTTTATTGAAAATTGATGAATAGTGACAAGACTACAAAACAGACATGCATTTGCATTTTCCCTGGGATTTCAGTGAGTCTCAGAAGGCTGGAGCAGCTGTCTGGAGTGGGTGTGGTCAGCTGAAGCCCCACCCCCTGCGGGAAGCTGTAGCAGGCCTCATCTTTGAAACTGTATTAGTGTGTGTGCACTGGGTGTCATTCTGTCACTGGAAATGTTAGCAAACATAAGACAGACTATCAGAGAAAATCACTAACCTTTACTCTAACTCAAATTGCATGACGCATGCTTTGAGTTTCAGCAAAAGGTTAACCTTGCTTTTATCTTCCTTCATTGGCCAAGTTTTGCTTGTCTGACACCGGAAATGCCATGACTGAATTCTGAAAGAACAAGCATTGAGGGAATGTCCCAGCTGCTGTCAGCAGATGAAGTATTTGTACGGACTGTTGTTCAGAGCTTTCTGACCGTACAGCCTTCAAACAGGTGTCTGTGGTTTTTTCGCTCTACTTTAGAGCAGTGGTTCACAACAGCAGGCAATTTTGCTCTCCAGGGGACATTTGGCAATATCTGGAGGCAGTTTTGGTTGTCACAACCTTTAGCGGGAGGAGGGGTGAGGGGCCATGCTACTGGTGTCTAGTGGGTAGAAGCCAAGGTTGCTACTAATATCCCGCAGTGCATAGGAAGGCCCCCATACAAGAAGGACTACCAATAGTACCGAGGCTGAGAAAGCCTGTCGTGGAAGTTTGTAAGGTCAGGGTGTCTCCAGGGACGTTGGCTGGCTGCCAGGAGGGTGCTCAAAGGTGCTGTTTACCTGATAGCTCATCACAGGACAGGATTAGGCTCTCTCTCAGCATTACAACTTGGAGACTCACTTTCTGGTGTCCCAGAGCTGACCAGACTCTAGATTGACTTGCACAGAAATCCATAGGAAACTGAGTAATACACCTCTTCTGTCTTGCTGAGTCCCACGAGTCAATAGAACTAGTGGACAGAGTGGGTGCTTGTGTTGGCTGCACAGCTCATATGCCCCCTGTTGGCAAGATGCCAGGGCACTGGAAGTGCCAGGAGGTCCTCAGGTAGCCTAGGGTCAGCCTTGTGGTATCTCATGCTTCCTGAAACTCCGAGATTTGGACACTTAACCCTTGACTTAAGATGCATCCCATCAGGATCGGAGATGCTGCGTCTTCAGGACAGGGCTCGTCTTTAGAAAGTGCTGAGATGTGTCTTAGGAACCAAGTTTGATCTTTTGCATTTTCCTCCTTTGCTTCCATTGCTGACCAGCTGCCTTTCATTATCCATATCGATTCTTTTAATTTCCTCTTTAGTCTGGTTGGCTTAGGGGAGAGGAATTGGTTCACTAAACATGTGTCCAGCCCCATCGTGTAGCAGGGATAATTAATATGAAGCTTGATATTAAGACACTCTCCCTAACTGGTGCCTTTCTCAGTCTAGTGGATGGCACTGAGGTGACAACATTTCAGAAGAATGTGAGCCGGGCGGTGACAGGTCCATTCAGGATTCTATGCAAGTACAGAGCAGACAAATCTGAGCTGCAATGTCACTTGCAGTATCTGCTTTGATCTTTCTGACTTTACAGTTCAATTTTTGGAGAGCAGCATTATTCCTGGTATTCTGATTCCTGGGAGAAGGATGTAAGGGGCCATTGTCACTCCTGTGAACTGTCTGCTTGTCCACTTGATATTTCTCGTTCTGTCCCCGATTGGATGTCAGGCCTCTGAATGATGAAAGAGTCCAGTGTGCCACCTTATCATCCCCTTTTCCCTCTCAGTAATGGAGGCGGTCATTCTGTACATTTTTGAATGCTGTGGTCAATCCCACCAGGAAATATAGCCATGCTGGAGAGAAGTCCTAGGATGATGCGGAGAGTTCCCCTTTTTACTGTGAAGAGAAGAATTTTGCAGAGACTGTCCACACTTGAGTGAACTTGATGTGTTTTGCCAGGATCCTGCTGAATCACTCAGCAAAGTCAGAAGCCTACTTAAGTGCTAAGTCACAGATGATACTCTCTTCTTCTGAACAGTTACACCCGGAAAGGGACGGTGGGGACGCAGAGAAATAGAGACATTTGGTGGGATTGTGAAGCAGGAAGGGGAGGATGTGTTGGATGTGCACATTTTTCTTCCCCAAAGCCCTCGTTTGGGGCATGTTCTACCCCCTTGCCCATCCTTCCTTAACCTTTTAGGTGTGGGACTTTGGGCAGGTTGCTTCTCTGAGCCTTGGTGTCCCACCTATAAAACGGGAATAACCGCATTTACCACTTACAGTGGCTGAGAACAGAGAAACTCATAGGGAGGTCCTGGCATGTTGTAGGGACTCAGAAAATGCTAGTTATCATTTTCTGTGGAGAGATCACACTTAGAATGTGAATGCCCCAAGAAGGATGTGGAGCGACATAAATTCACACCTAGAAGTATTGACTGGTATTACATTTTGCCCCGAAATCCAGTTTTTTGGACAGGAAACAAGGTGATGGAAAATGAGGCAAGGCACGAGAATTCTAAGTTTTGGGGGGAGGGAGAGTGAAAGGGATGTTACCCATTCATTGGAGATTGATGGAGGGCTCACTAAGTATCTGTTTCTGTAAAGAAGACACGCTTGGTTAACCTCACAGTTTGTCCCTGGGCCAGGCCTGTCCTCTGTGATGGGCTGGTGCCCAGCAGTACTTGGAGTATTTTTTTAGAAGTGCTGAACAGCCTAAGTACTTTGTTAATTTTTTGTTTTGGTAATTAATATAGTCACATCAAAGCTATTTGCAATTAATTAATTATCTCTCAGCCAGATTAATCTTACCTTCCCTTAAAATGTGCTATGTTTGCAAAGACGTCTGATAGGAAAAGAAAGATTATACGTGCGTGCTATATCCTTTTAAAAAGGGTGGTTGGGGGATGGGGCAGAAGGTGAAAGGATTAGGAAGTACAAATTGGTAGTCACAAAATAGTCTTGGGGATGTGAAATACAGTCTGGAGAATATAATCAATAACGTTGTATACATTATGTAGGGTGCAGATGGGTACTCGACTTATTGGGGGATCACTTCATAGACTGTGTAGATGCCTGACCACTGTGCTGTACGCCTGAAGCTAAAGTAGAATAATGTTGAATGTCAACTATAATTAAATGTCTATATAGTCACGGGATGTAAAGTACAGCATAGGGAATAGAGTCAATGGTATTGTAACAGCTTTATAGGAAGTTGACTTGGGGGAGGTTATCACTTTGTGAGGGGTGTAAATGTCTAATTATTATGTTGTTTTGTACACCTGGAGCTAATATAAAAAACAATTAAATTAAAAAATAAAAGGCACAGCAGCATCTCTCTGTTTCATTGGAACGTACATATCTGAGACTGACCCAATGGTGTGCTGCTAGGAGGCCCAGGAGGGGGGGCAGGGGGAGGGGCCAAGGGAGGGGCAGGGGGAGGATGTTAACTCCTGAATCAATTTTATTTATCCCTATTGAGACTTCGCTACCCCTTCTGCTCAGAATCCTATCTCAGAAGTTCAGTTTGGGTGGTGCTGCAATTATTTTCTGGATCATTTCCCCCAAATCAACTCCATCAGAAGTGGAAAATCACTGAAGGATTGCTCTGCCCGTTGTTTGCTGGGACCAGCTCAGAAACCGTTCTGCGTTGTTCCCTCTCCATTGCCTCCTTGATGTTGATAGGACACCAGTTACTTGTTTAATATTTGGTTTGGGGGCCTGTGGCCTCCTGGGGGGTCATGGAGAAGGGCAGGCAAAACATCTTGTTTGCAGTCCCAGCGCCTAGCAGATGCCCCGCAAATCTTCATCTGCAATGAATGTTTGCTTAGTGACTGACATAGCCAGAGGCACTTCTTTCACTGCCTTTCTGCAGCTCAGAATCAATCTTTTCTTCTTGCTCCCTTAACCCCACCCCCTTTGGACCTAGCATTGATTGGAAAACATGAAAACCAGTGGAAAGATGCTTGGTGCTATATGGGAATGCATCGACATGAGGCAAGGCTTACCTTGTTAGAAATCGGATTTTTTTGCTTCCTTTATTCTATTCAGAGAGAGAACTGAAATTTGCCTTTTTCTTTGTTTGGATACAAACTTAACTCTTCCTCCACAGACACACCCCCACATGCACGCACACACACACCTTCACCAGACAACTCTGATCCAGCATGTATAGTCATTTCTGTTCTGTGAAATATAACAATGAACAAATAAAGCAAAATTGAATTTGTCCAGCCTCAGAAACCTATTGGTTTTAAGTTAGAGCAGTGGTGTTAATTCTGCTAGGGCAGTCACATTCAGAGCTCGGCATCCGAAATGGATGGAAATGTATTCATTAGAGATTTATAAGTATATCCTTGATGAATTAGCTAGGAAAATAACACTCCTGGAAGAAACTGTATGGCAGGTGAGTGATTGCAGTCCTGATTCTAGTGCCTCATTTCATCTTTGGATGTTTTGTTGGCCTCAGGGTCAGTGTAGATGTCCCAAGCTTCCATTATAGTCAAGATCCGAGAGTCCTTCAGCCTGAGAGTGGTTGTAAATCCTGTGTGATGATGTCCCTTGATCCATGTGTCTAGTGGGAGTGATGGTTCCATGAAGGGAAAAGACTGGCCCCTCCCTCGGAGTTAGTTGGGGTCTAAGATATGGGGTTAATCAGTTAAGTGCCCTTGCGCTGACTTTGAGATAGAACGCCTTGTCTTGGGTATCTTCCCTTCTTGGAATTACAACCTGATTGATGCTTTCTTCTGCAGGTGAGAGTGATTTCCCGGCGATTGCTTTGTAAACCAGAGAACAGGATTCTTCTCTTCCTTTTGGCCATTAAATGCCCATGTGCACCACACATTCCTGTGGGGGAAGAAGGGCGGAGCTTCTTGGATGATGATGGACGTTCCACCGGGCAGGATGAGGGCAGAGTGTGTGACATCGACACCACAAGGGTAAGATTTCCTCTCTGACATTTTCTTTGGCACCATTATTTGTCAAAGGAAGGGGAGAACGAATCTTACAGTGTAGGGACAGAAATGAAGGTTAAACGCTAGGGAGATTATTCTGATTGTAAAATCCACTGGGAAGTGGGGCCGATGACTGAGGGGGGAAGGGAGTGTGTCAGCCTGGAAGGGGTACATTGAAGTTGTATTGGGGGTGGCAGGCCAACTTTGGGAGATTCTGTGGTCCACATTGCCCAGCTCCTCTTTTGCCATTCGTAGTTCAGACTTGAGGGAGTGACACTACTGTTTTTGTGATAAGATTTCACTTGTGTCCATTTGAATTGATCTGGCTTAAAACGGGTTCTGAGGAGCTGGGGTGGGTAAGGTCACAGATTGGGGGCTTATAGGAAGTACCGGGCTCAGAGACACATTTTTCTTTAAGCCACATAATGTTGACAACATGGTGGATCAGTTCTGATCAAACTTGAGATATTACACATAAAAACCAGGATTTCCTAGTTCTTTTGGAACACTGAGAGATACACCTACATTGGCCCTCCATTCCCACAAAGAACTCTGGTGCTGAGTGGCCACTACCTCCTAGACAAGCGTGAACAGTTCACTACAGTCCCCACCAGCTCACTTCATTTGTTTAACTGACTTGTTTGCCACTGTAAGTATTTCACAGGCCATGCCTGGTCTAGCTCATTCTGCTAGCTGTTTGACAAAAACAGTGATAACTTTTATTAATTCTTCCAGATAAGAGGGAATATCTTTCACTAGACTATGGGCAGCAGTTAGTATAAGGGGCTGGAGCTGTGGTGATGACAATACATAACCCCTTCCATGGAAGAGCTTAGAGTCTAGTGAAAGCAATGGTTAAACTTGTTGGGAATAAGCAGAACTGTAAAAAACATTATAATATCTTGTGGTGGGTGTGCCTGAAGGACTGCGGGAGAAGGCAAGCAGAGCAGGGCGGGACATTATTAATTTGTCCTAAGTGTATTCAAATTCTCCAAAACTTCCTCCGCTGCACGCGAGAGCATCACCGCAACAGCCACTTGTATGTGGGTTTCTCCATGTGATGTGACTCAGTTGGAGATGTGATGGGGTACCTACCGCACAGTGAAAGCTCTCCTCTTGTCACAAAGTCTACATTATTCCTGTTTCTGGTTGAAAATCTTACATCCGTGATTCTTTGCTTTTTGCAAATAGGACCGACTTCTGGCTACTTGGCTCACTAAATCACTTAGCCTTCTGAGCAGCCCTCAGCTTGGAGATGAGCTGTGTGAATTACAGGGATCCCTGGAGTTTCCAAAGGGGAGAAGCCACACTAAGTAGAGATCCAGAGGGAATGAATGCAACTCTAATATGACTGTATCTGGTGGAGGGAGCAAGAGAAGGAAGGGCGTATGGGGAGGTAGAGGAACTCTTACCTCAACCTCTGATTTCTGGAATAAATTGTCACATGTACCTCGTGCTTTGTGCTTTCAAAAGACTTTTGCACTTGCTATTTACCATCAAGGTGTATTTGTCATCTTTCACAGATCAAGAATCTACCCACCCAAGGTGATGTAGCTGGGAAGTGGCAACTCACACAAGTTTTTGGAGTCATAGCCTTTTGCTCTTTTCTTTAGTTCAAGCATGGATAAGGGGACCTGGTGTGTTCATTTAGTTTATGTCAACATTTACAAGTTGAGTTTAGGTTGTGAATATTCTGAAATAGAGTGACCTGGGGTCCTGGTGACCCCTTGGAGCTGTGCTACTAGTGTGTTGTCAGCTGTGCTCATGATGTCAGAACATGTTAGGGGTGGAACAGACCTAGGAGCGGGTTTCTTTGCTGTCTACTTGGCCAGTAGGACTCACATGTTAGAGCTGGGCTTCCTCACTGGGCTGGTTCCATGTAGAAGCGTCAGGATGCCCAGCGAATGCTGATCCCTGGAAATCAAGACTCAAACCCAGAAAGCTCTTTGAAGTTTCACGTGCTCTGCATTCTGGCTCTGGGCATGTCCTTCTAGATGACTCATCAACAGCTATTTCTTTCTCAGGATTACACTAATTTAGCTGCTGTAAAAACACTCAGATTCACGAAGGCCTGAACCGAGGACCACCAGCATCTCCATTGCCAAATCTACAGTCAGGGTGGACTGTGCAAGGCCATTAACCTCTCATCATACTTTCTGCCCTTCTCTGGCCTATCACTGATCTTCTTTTCTTTACATGTCACCCAGGCCAGTGCACAGGGAGCTTGCTATAAGAGAAGGCCATCACTGGGGAAGGTCCACCTCCATCCATGGGGGTGGACTGGGTTTAGATTTTCAATTCTGTTTATATTTGCTTGGTTTTATTTGGAATTTTCTCACGTGGCATGGCCAGAAATAGAATTTAGCATGACCTGCCCTTTTTAAAAACAAATGATTTTTAAAAAATTTAATAGAAGGAAATGCAGCTTTTTAAAAAGAATGTTCCAAAAAGATGGCAATATCAATGCAGAAAAATTCACCCCCCTCCCTTTTTTTCTTTGATGAAAGGACTAATATAGGTTTTAGACAAGCGAGAAGGAAAAAAGGAACCTAGATTTTGTTTTACTTTTATGGAATTGATTTTTAAAAAGTGGTTCTGCCCCATTAAACTGGCTTTTATTACACTTTTGTTACTTTTCTGAGCAAAGCAAGTACATATCAAAGCGACTGATGCACAGGTATGCATGAATATGGTAGTCTTGAAAAGACAGTTTTGAGAGTATTTTTCAACTGAATTTGAGAGCAAGAAGCAAAGACAGAAGTAAGAGGTTAATGGCTTTGAAAAGTCTCTACAGGTGCTATTTGGAGAGAAAGAAGTGGATCAGTGTAGTTTTTCTTTTTCTTTTTTTTTTAAAAGATTTTATTGGGGAATCAGGGGAGGGGAACAGCGTGGGGGAATCGGGGAAGGGGTACAGACAAGTTGCTGTTCTTTTGGTTCTTCAGTCTAGTTGTGGAGGATGTTGCTTCACTGGCCCATGTTGGTATTATCATTGCGCTCTTCCCGGGTGAGGCAGTCACTCGCCGGCCATTGGACGGCCACTCACGGTGGCTCACGGCAGCCCACAGTAGCAGGGGCTGCAGCCTACACGGACACTTGCTGCTAACGGCAGCCTAGCTCCAGGTCGAGCTGTTGTTCACCATCTTAGCTGTAAAGGGTGCAGCATCACTGGCCCTCATGTGGGATCCAAATCAGGGCCCTGCTGCTCAGAGCTGGCATCTCAAGCCAGCTCTTAACCAATGCGCCACTCAGCTGGCCCTAGTGTAGTTTTTCTTTTAATCTGCCAGTGAATATCTTGGATTTTTGATGTCTTTGTCTTTCTTTTGAATCTTACAGACTCCAAGAGGCACAAGGTGGCCAAATACAGTGTATAACGTTCTCAGCACAAGTGATTTGGGTGGGTGGTAGGCAGGGGGATTGATGCAGCAGTCTAAGCTCTTCTTGAGGAAGAGAATGAAAACAGTAGTTAGTTGATTTTTCTACCTTGAGGCCAGATGACTTTTGTATCCACAGATGGGCCTGATTTGAGACCCTATGTGCCCTTGGCATGCTAGTAGCAAAAATCCCTTACTAAAGAGCATAGCGTTCTTTAATGAGGGTGACCGATAAAATATGGAAATTCAGAGATTAACCAGTCCTTCTTTCCTCCCACTTTTTGAAAAATGAAAACCTCATATTTGAGGCATAGTGGAAAGAGCCTGCCCCATAAAAACTGGATAATCTTGCCTAAACTCTAAGCCTTAGGTCTCCCTATTTGCAATATGGGGGTATAATATCTTAGGATTGTTGGAGAATTAGAGGAAATGATTCATTCATTATTCATTCAGTTATACTTATTTCCTGGTAATGTCCAGATATGCACTATTTACTGGGAATTAAAGGGTGAACACTAGTGTATATGAAAGCAATTACCATAGTGCATGGCTCAAAAAGGTGCTTAGTAAATTATTCTGAAAACATTTTTGATGGGCAATTTTAACATGTACAAAAATAGATTAATGCATTAAGCTCCTCTGTAGCCATCACTCAGCTGCAGGAGTTATCAGTCCATGGCCATCTTGCATGATCAGTGTCATCTCACCCCACACCCCATAGATTATTTTGAAGCGCATTTCAAACATGGCATCATTTTATCCATAAAATTTTAGTATATATTTTCAAAAGATGAGTATTTTTCAAAGGTCATAATTGTAATATCTTAGTGCATTGAAAAAATAACAATTTTTTTAATGTTATCAGTATTTCATTGGTATTCCAATGTTTCTGATTTTAACATTTTATTTTAAGTATTTAGCTAGTTAGAATCAGGAGCCATACAAAGCCCACACATTGAATTTACTTGCTATGTCACTTACTTGATCCGTGTCATTTGTTTAATGTGGTTTCCCGCTGTCTGGATTTGCTGATTGCATCTCATAGTGTCCTTGAACATGTTCTTCTGAAATCCCTATTGCGGCTCTAGAGGCTAGATTAAATTCAGGCCTGTTTTTTTTTGTTTGTTTGTTTTTGGGTTTTTTTTGCTCTTGTTGGGACTGGGATACTGCAGGTTTGTGTATGAGGTCTGACAATTAAGTTCCTGAACTTGTTCCAACAATGTTGCTAACCTTTTTTGATATCAGAGGGATTATTCATTATGAATTTGTACCACCTGGACAAATAGTTAACCAAGTTTATTATTTGGAAGTGCTAAAAAGGCTGCATGAAAAAGTTAGACAAAAACGACCTAAACTTTTTGCCAACAATTCATGGCTCTTGCGTCACAACAATGCACTAGCTTACACGGCACTGTCTGTGAGGGAGATTTTAGCCAGTAAACAAATAACTGTATTGGAACACCCTCCCTACTCACCT